GGGAGAACATTAGCTTTACATTCATCCTATCGTATATCGTTTCATTGCCATGGTTACAAGCCCCTCCATGCATCATTGACGAACCAAAGTGTATACACTACAAGCCTGACTCCTGGTTGTCATGACATACTTTTAAAATTTTTTATGTTGTTGAATTCTATTGGTTAGGATTTTGTTGAGAATTTTTGCATCGATGTTCATGAGGGATTGTTGTTGTTGTTGTTAGGTGCCATAAAGTCGGTACTGACCTATAGCAACCCTATGCACAACAGAATGAAACACTACCCCACCCTGGGCCAACCTCACAATCACTGCTACATATGAGTCCATCGATGCTGCCACTGTGCCAGCCCATCTCGTTGGGGGTCTTCCTCTTTTTCTCCGACCCTCCACTTTACCAAACATGATATCCTTCTCCAGGGACTGGTCCCTCCTGACAATATGTCTGAAGTATGAAAGATGAACTCTGGCCATCCTGGCTTCCAAGGAGCATTCTGGCTGTATTTCTTCCAACACAGATCTGTTTGTTCTTTTGGAAATCCGTGGTAGTTTCAATATTCTCCTCCAACACTATAACTCAAATGCATCAATTCTTCTACCATCTTCCTTATTCACTGTCCAGCTTTCACATGCATATGAGGTTATTGAAAATACCATGGGTTGGGTCATGTGTACCTTCGTCTTCAAGCTGACATCTTTGCTCCTCAACACTTTAAACAGATCCTTTGCAGCAGATTTGCTGAACACAATGTCAGTTGATTTCCTGACTGCTGCTTCCATGAATGTTGATGGTTGATACAAGCAAAATGAAGTCACTGACAACTTCAATCTTTCTCCATTTACGTGGATTTTATTTATTGGTCCAGTGGTGAGGATTTTTGTTTTCTTTACATTGAGGTGCAACCTAGACTGAAGGCTTGTGGTCTTTGATCTTCATCAATAAGTATTTTAAGTCCTCTTGACTTTCAGCAAGCAAGGTTGTTAATGAGCCTTTCTCCAATCCTGATACCATGTTATTCTTCATATAATCCAGCTTCTTGGATTATTTGTTCAGCATAAAGACTGAATAATGTATGGTGAAAGAATACAACTCTGGCACACATCTTTCCTAATTTTAAACCATTTGGTGTTCACCTGTTCTGTTTGAACAACTATCTCTTAGTCTATGTACACATGACACACATGTGCTTGGGGATGAGCACAATTAAGTGTTCTGGAATGTTCATACTTCTCAATGTTGTCCATAGCTTGTCATGAACCACACAATTGAAAAGACATTGCATAGTCAGTAAACCACAGGTAAACATCTTTCTGGTATTCTCTGCTTTCAGCCAAGATCCATCTGATGATAGCCCTCATTCCTCATCCTCTTCTGAAACCAGGTGGAACCTCTGGAAGTTCTGTCAATGTATGGTTGCAGCCATTTCTGTATTTAGTAAAACTTAACTCACATGGGCTATCAGTGATATTGTCCAATGATTTCCGCATTCCGTTGGGTCACCTCTCTTTGGAATGGGCACAAATATGGATCTCTTCCAGTCAGTTGGCCCAGTAGTGCCGCTTCGCTTTGCTGAAAAGTTTCAATTTGTATTCCATCAATTCCTGGTGCTTTGTTCTTTGCCAATGACTTCAATGCACCTTGGACTTCTTTCTTCAGGATCATTGGCTCTTGATCATTTGCTACCTCTTGAAATGGTTGAACATAGGCAATTTCTTTTTGGTACAATGACTCTGTATTCTTTCCATCTTTTTTTTTTTTTAACCCTATATAGTGTTTCTTTTCTTTCTTTTTTAATGTTTAATTGTGAATTATGTAATATTTTACATGGGAGAACATTAGCTTTACATTCAACCTATTGTAGATTGTTACCTTTCCTCTTCTTTTGATGCTTTCTTCATCATTTAGTATTTTGCCCATAGAATCCTTCACTACCGCAAGTCAAGGTTTGAATCTTTTCTTCAGTTCCCTCAACTTGAGAAATGCTAAGTATATTCTTTGCTTTGGTTTTCTAATTCCAGGTCTTTGCACATTTTGTTATATTTGACTTTGTCTTCTTGAGCTGACTTTTGAAATTTTCTGTTCGGCTCTTGTACCTTCTCACTTCTTTCATTTGCTTTAGCATCTCTACGCTGGAGAGCAAGTTTCAAAGTTTCTTCTGATATCCATTTTGGTCCTTTCCTTCTCTCTTGTCTTCTTAATGACCTTTTGCTTTCTTCATGTATGATGTTCTTGATGTTATCCCACAACTTTTCTGGGCTTTGGTCTTTAGTGGCTAATGCTTCAAATTTGTTCTTCAGATGTTCTCTAAATTCAAGTGAGATATACTCAAGGTCATATTTTTGCTCTCATGGACTTGTTTTAATTTTCATCTTCAGCCTGAATTTACAAATGAGCAATTAATGGTCTGTTTCACAGTCTGCCCCTAGCCTTGTTTTGGCTGATGATATGAAGCTTTTCCACTGTCTCTTTCCACAGATGTAGTCAATTTGATTTCTGTGTATTCTATCTAGTGATGTCCATGGGTATGTTGCTATTGTTATGTGCTGTGGTGTCAGTTCCAACTCATAGCGACCCGATACAGGGTTTCCGAGGCTGTAAATCTTTACGGGAGCAGAAATCCTCATCTTTCTCCCGCGGAACAGCTGGTAGTTTCAAACTGCTGACTGTGAGATTAGCAGCCTGGTTCATAACCACTACGCTATCAGAGCTCGATATCCTAGGCATTCGTGAGCTGAAATGGACTGGTATTGGTCATTTTTTAATCTGACAACCACATGGTTTACTATGGTGGTAATGACAAATTGAAGAGGAATGGTGTTGCATTCATCTTCAAAAAGAACATATCAAGAGCAGCCATGAGGTACAAAGCTGTCTATGATATGATAATATCCATGTGCCTACAAGGAAGACCAGTTAATACCATTATTCAAATTTACACAACAACCACTAAAGCCAATGATGATGAAATTGAAGAATTCCACCAACTTCTTCAGTCTGAAATTGATCAAACATACAATCCAGATGTATTGATCATTACCGGCGATTAGAATGCAGAGGTAGGAAACAAAGAGGAAGGATCAGTAGTTGGAATATATGGCCTTGGTGATAGAAATGATGCTGGAGATCACATGATAGAATCTTGCAAAACCAATGACTTCTTTATTGCAAATATGTTTTTTAAACAGCATAAAAGACACTGTCCACCATAGGTGACTCCCCTGGTATTTAAAATACCAGAGACATAGCTTTCAGCATCACAGCAATATGCAAGCCACTACAGCATGGCAAACTGACAGACAAGTGGTGGTCTTCTTGTTATAGGTGTGTTCATATTTTTTATAGTTTTTTAAAAATACACAATGCACTTTTAAGAAATGCTCACCTCTGAAGCATGTGTAATCAACGGACTTAGTTTCAAGTCATCCTAAGTTCCACAATAACCATTGTTTTAGGAGCTGTCTAGTGTTGACAAAGTATTTGACAAAATTAACGACACAAGATTCTTGGTGTGATACTGTAGCATAAGTACTGGACTGCGAACCAAAAAGTCAGTGGTTCAAACCCACCAGCTCCTCAGAAACCCTGTACAAAGTTGCTATGTATCAAAATTGACTCAACAGTATCAACAACAGCAATGTATGAAACAACACAGTTGTGAACTTAACACTAGAATAATTCCTATCTTAACCTTCAATGTAGCTTTCTGCCTTTCTTAAAAGGGAAACATTTTTCCTGAATATTTTTCCTAGAGAAGTGAGACATTTGATTTCTGTCAACAACCCTTTCAGTTCATGTGCACTTGTGGGATGAGGGTGTTATTCACAGGTGATTAGAAGGGGGATGGGCAAAAATCCTCTTTAAAACTCTTTCTGAACTTCCCCTGACCAGAAGACTGTTCCTCCCTGTCTTCTGTAGGATTTCTGTCTCCTTCCTTTGAGGATTGGCACCCTTCAAAGTCCCTTCTTCCAGTCTCCTAAATGGAGAGATCATGCAAGTCACCGTTTCCACCAGAAAACATTTCCTGGTACCTGCTGTTCTGGGGACCAGACTAGGCTCTACAGGGTCACAAAACAGGTACCTGTAAGGATCTCTACCTGCCTTCTAGGAGCTTACACTTTTGGGTGCATATTAAAAGAGCCAGTTAGACAGGGCAGCTGTGTGCAAAACTTGATTGGACGTAAGAGTAGGCCGGAGTGGACTAGGTTTGCCAGAGGTGAGTTTTTGACAGACTAGTGGAGATGGTGGTGGACTCCTGGTGTGACGCTGTAGGATCAGTACTGGAACGCTAACCACAAGGTCAGCAGTTCAAGCCCACTAGCTGCTCCTTGGAAACCCTATACAGGGTCGCTATGAGTCTGAACCTACTCAATGGCATTTGACAACAGTGGAGATGGTGGTAGAAGGCTGGGAAAGGTTGGGGAAAATGTGGAAACAGTATCTGGAAGGAGGAAAGATAGGATATTAAAATGGGCCGGTTAAGACCAAGTTCTATCCCAAATTATTCATTCAAAAACGATTTAGGCGCCGGTGGCAGTTACAAGCGGGGTCATCGAGGTTGAACGAATTCCCTTCTGTGGAGTGAGGTGGGCGTGGGGAAGGAACAGGACTGAGAGGTAGTGGAAAGTAGAGGAAGCCAGGACAACCCGGCACGCAGGGATCAGATCACTTCGGATCTTGCAGCCGTGGCTTGGGGTTTGGATCGTATCCTGAGGGCAAATATAGGGCATTTCATACATTCTGTAACAATCTAAGAATCAGGCATTCTTATCTGAATTTTTTACTCAAGGTCACCCGCTGGCGAGAGGCAGGGCCAGGGTCTATGAAAATCTGTCGGGCTCCGGGATTGTAAGGCCCTCCTGCTTTCAGCACACCGCGGACTGTCCACACGGTCCACAACGACCGCGAGAGAAGGTCAATTGCGGACCGCCGGATCGACAGCTCGGCTGACTCTCTGAGCATGCGCCGTCGGTTCGTACGGAAGCTGAGATGAGGGGGCGGGGCCAAGGCTGGCGGGCGCGAGGAAAATGGCGGCGGCGGCGGCTGCTGCGAACGGCACTGGAGGGAGCACCGGGATGGAGGTGGATGCATCAGGTAACGGGCCCAGTGGGGACAGCTTTTGCAGTAAGATCTTTCTGGACTCCGACGAGAAGTCAGGAGAACATCTTTACCTGGGATAACTCGCAGGAGGGATGCAGGGCCCGGGGTCCGCCGGACCCCGCTCCCATCTCCAGGGAAGAACGTGGGACTCGGATTCAAGACAGTGTCTTTCTCTCCATTCGTAGTCGTCCCCAGCGTGATGGCCTCCGGGGTGACGGGGAGTGTTTCCGTCGCCCTTCACCCCCTCGTCATTCTCAACATCTCAGACCACTGGATCCGCATGCGCTCCCAGGAGGGGCGGCCTGTGCAGGGTGAGTGGGGCAGGGTCCTCCAGCCTCGCTCCTAGCTCCCCCAGATCGCCGCTGGACTAGTTCATACTGATCTCGGGCAGAGTTTGGGATTCTTTATGCTGAACACTTTCTGGGTTTATTTGGTCATTTTCGAATGTAATCACTTTCAGATGTTCCGTGTTAAGATTTCTAGAGACTTAATAAAAGGCAATAGTGAAAACAAGCAAACAAACAAAAAACCGGAAAAAGTATTAAATTTGTCCGAAGTGACATACTACAGAGCTGTCCGATTAGAACCCATCTTAACCTGTGTCTCCTTCCCCAGTGATCGGGGCTCTGATCGGGAAGCAGGAGGGCCGAAATATCGAGGTGATGAACTCCTTTGAACTGCTGTCGCACACGGTGGAAGAGAAGATTATCATCGACAAGGAATATTATTACACCAAGGAGGAGCAGTGTGAGAGGGGAATAGAAGTGGGGGAGAGGAATGGAAGTGAAAGCTAACGGTGCGGGAGGACATGGCAAGGTTAGGAAGAAATACTGAGAGAATGAGAGCAGGATAGGTAAGGTGAGAATAGTTGAAAAGAGCTCAGAAAAAAGGGCATGTTCGGGTATGCTACCTCCCTTCCCCACAAAGTAAAGGAAGAGAGAAGCCTGATAAAGTTATTATTCTAAACTGAGCCAGGACTTGGAGGAAGAGGGGAACAGATGATGAAAGTACAGTAGGAGCTTCAAATGAAGAATGGTTCTTTTAAAGAAATACTATGTACTTTGACTCCTTACTTCCCAGTTAAACAGGTTTTTAAGGAGCTGGAGTTTCTGGGTTGGTATACCACAGGGGGGCCGCCTGACCCCTCCGACATCCACGTCCATAAGCAGGTACGTGCTCATATGTGCATGCCTGGGCAGAGAATGGAGGATAAGAGAGAGAGGACATTGGCTTTCCTTCTCTTCCAGGTGTGTGAGATAATTGAGAGTCCCCTCTTTCTCAAGTTGAACCCTATGACCAAGCATACAGATGTGAGTAACAGTGGCCCTGTGCCCACTTTTAGTCATTTGTCTTTTATAATCATCCTGGAGTGGCGCTGTGGGCTAATGCGCCAGACTGCAAAGCCGGCTGAACTGCAAGGTCGGCGATTCAAGCTCACCAGCTGCTCTTCGGAAACTCTATACAGGGTCGCTATGGGTCAGAACCGACTCAGCAGCAGTTAACAACCTTCGGATATTGCATGACATTACTTCTTTATTGGAGAGCTCCACTCTGCAGCTGTGTGACTTTGGCTAATCATTTCCCGCATATGCAAAGGGTTCCTCTCAACTGCACTAGGTCCTTGGGGAAAATGGAATGAGCCCACTTCTGGCACAGTTCATGTTAAACTATTCTCTTATGTCTTCTTTACAGCTTCCTGTCAGTGTGTTTGAATCTGTCATCGATATTATCAATGGAGAGGTAATATCCTACCCATAACCCTCAGATCCTGCTGTTGGCCCACTTCTTGCTTTTGACCCTCTACGTGGGGTACTCTGCTCCGCAGGCCACAATGCTGTTTGCTGAGCTAACCTACACTCTGGCCACAGAGGAAGCTGAACGCATTGGTGTGGACCACGTGGCCCGAATGACAGCCACAGGCAGCGGCGAGAACTCCACTGGTACTGGAGTCTGGAGGAGCTTCCTTGCAAATAGGGGTAAGGGGAAAGTCACATGCTTTGACCTCCATCTGTCCCTATCCCTGCAGTGGCCGAACACCTGATAGCACAGCACAGCGCCATCAAGATGCTGCACAGCCGAGTCAAGCTCATCTTGGAGTACGTAAAGGCCTCTGAGGCAGGTAAGACTCTTCCTGGCACTTGCACCTGCCCTTCCCAAGGAAGATGGCAACCTTCAGGTTAATGCAGCTGTTTTTGTGCTTCTAGGAGAGGTCCCCTTTAACCACGAGATACTGAGGGAAGCCTATGCTCTGTGTCACTGCCTTCCTGTACTCAGCACAGACAAGTTCAAGACAGACTTTTATGATGTGAGTGTACGACCCAGGACAGGGAGAGGGGGCTTTTTGCTGGTGTTTCTGCATGAACCCCTGGGGAACTGGTTTTTTGTCTTCTCTCCCAGCAATGTAACGATGTGGGGCTTATGGCCTACCTTGGCACCATCACCAAAACATGCAACACCATGAACCAGTTCGTGAACAAGTTCAACGTCCTCTATGATCGACAAGGCATTGGCAGGAGAATGCGGGGGCTCTTCTTCTGAGAGGGCACTGGAAGGATGCTATGCAGGTGTCAGGGAACTACCCCAAAGGGGAGGAGGAAGCTGTGTCATTAATAAAGGGAGCAGCCCCTCAGCATCCCTTCCACTGGCTGTGTCCTCTCTTTAGGCACACACGGGTTTCTCAGCTTGGATTTTAAACAAGGCCTTTCATTCCCACTCTTGATTAGAGGCATGAATCCCTTATCAGTTCTTGACAACCTTCAATGATGGGAGCTCACTGCCGCTGGAAGTGACCCATGATTGATCGGACATTTATTATTGAGCTAAAAACTGCCTGCTCCCACCCAAGTGAGATCTGTTCTGCCTTGAGTCACCTGTAACATCAGCGTACATAGGTCAACCCTGTAAATGTGATAACAAATTTCCCAAGTTTATTAATTCATGTGTTTTCCATAATGGTATGGAGGGTATGTTTGGTAAGGTGGAGGGTCAGAGGAAAAGAGGAAGGCCCCCCAGCGGCAAAGTGGCAGCATCAATGGCAACAGTTGTGAGGCTGGCCCAGGACTGGGCAGTGTTTTGTTCTGTTGTACACAGGGTTGCTGAGTCGACAACGACTCGATGGCACCTAACAATGGAGGTTGCCCATACATTAAACTATTAGTGACAACTCAAAGCCTGGATCCTTGTGGATATTATAGAGTACCAAAAGGGGCTATTTCTTTATTGCTGACATTGAGTGTTCTCTATACTGCTTGCTGTACATGCTATGAAGAAGAGGTACTGCTGTTTGGAGAGGAGATAGTATTCTAAAAGATGAAGGTGGCTATGATTACTGTTGGTGGATAACCCCACTTTTACATGCCATTGACTACTCCAGGGAATCTCAGTGCCTCCTACATTTCCTATACCATGGAGTAATGAGATGTTTAGTGGACACCTCATTACTGGGTTTCCTTCCCACTGGCTGTTCTGGAGTCTGACAGTGACTGGCACAGAGCAGGACACTAAAATAACACTAAAGAGTTAAAAACTGGAGACAGGCTGCATGCAGCCCATGTAGCGAGCCTGTATAGGTTTTCTTAGGAGTGGCTGATGAGTTTTGAACTGATGGTTCAAAAGGGAACCAGGTATGAATCTAGAAAACTCACAAAGCCTCGTTTTAACAGGCGGCCCAGATTAGAAGGTGGTGATTTGCAAACACTTTTATTAGCAAAAGGAGGAAAAGAGTTAAGTGCAGCGGTGAGCGAGGCATGCAGGCCAGAGCTCAGTGTCTCCAGACAGCGGGAATTAGACAAACGTGATGCGGGTCCGGGCGGTGTTGACCTGCCAGACATTTAGTTGCTCATACTCATCAAGCGCCGCCTGAAACTGCGCAGGTGTGAAGCCCCGGGATATGCAACGCTGTTCTGCCTCGGAAAACCGGACACTTTGGCCCCCTGAGACCAACTCACGGACAGTAGCAAAGATCACATCTGCTGGTCTCTGGGTCCTAAAGGAAACAAGGGCAGGTGTATTAGTATTAGGGTAGGACATATACAGGGACCACCAACATCCACAGTGTGATGGGCCAATGTTAGAATTCTGAGATCCACGTCTCAGACATCTCTATACAGAAACCAGATTTGCTCAAGAAAGCCAAAGTGACCAAAAGGTCCTTCATGAAAGGACTCACCTAGCTGTTTGCCCCTTGTCGCCTAGAAGTGAGTCTTTTGACATCTCCATTAGCCTTATGGCTTCATTCACATCCTCTTTCTCCACAGTGTCTACCATTCGTAGTCGTGCCTAAGAGGAAGGCAGGATAGAGGGGAGTGGAACAAAGGCAGGGAAATCCTTGTTCCAGCTTCAAGGGAAGTCAAGCAACCTCCATTGCTTATTAGAGAGCCCCATCCCTGTATCACCCCAAACATCTGCAGTGTTGGGCCGGCACTGTCAGACCGAGACAAGTGCAATGCCCAGGGCAGCGTCCAGCAATTGCCCAAGTCTCCGCCTTTCAACACTGGCCAGTCCCGGTGTTCAGCTGTCCTGTGAAGGAGCTCTGCAGAGAAGGCGGGTGACTGGCGGAGAGGCTGTGTCCCAGGGGCTCGGGAAGTGCTAGCTCAGCAGTAGGTCAGGTAATCACACTACCTGCACGAACAGCACTTTGGAGCCCCCAGGACGGAAGTCCAAGATGGGAGGACACAAATGAAGTATAGTTTATAGCACAGAATCTTAGGACACAGAAGTGCAATGAACCCCACCCACACCCTCCGTAAGGTTGGAAGCAGGGAGGTCGCCTTTCCCTCCGTGGATGCTGTGCATGCCCTACCGGAGCAGCAAGTACCCACAGTGCGGTAGCACGGAGAGGACCACTATCTGCACTGTCAGCACTTTAGCCCCGGCAGGGCCTGAGTGGGAGGGAGGAGGCAAGCAGAGAGTTAACCTTATGAAGGTAGACTGAGGTATTAAGTCCAGTCAAAGGGATGGGGGACGGGGCACTCACCAAAGCAGTAGAAAGTCGCAGAATGGCCAGCAGGGTCCGGGCTGAAGTATAGGTGGCATCCTTACTAGCCCAAGCCTCTCGCCTCATCTCTACATAGGCAGCTGTGATGTAGTCAGCCAGAGACTCTGGCACTGTGGGCTGCTTGTCACGGCACATAGCTATGTAACGTCTGCGGGGAAAGGGTGCATGGGAAAGCAAAAGGGGGAGATGGGGTTGAATACTTGAGTTTGTTTTCTCCGCTCAAAGAAAACTCTTATTTAATGGGGAGAGATTTTTCAATAGGAGAAACAAATAAATAGATGGATTTCTTTGAGAAATGTAAATCCAACTCAGTGAATTCAACTGGACAGAATCTTAACTGTCCCGTGGGGTGGGTTTCCAGGGCTATAAATCATTACTAAAGGAGTGTCACATCTATCTTATGGAGCAGCTGTTTTGAACTGTCAAATTTCCAGTTGGCACCCAAGCACTTAACCACTGCGCTACCACAGCTTCTTTCAAACAGTAGAAAAGCCGCACGGAAAGACGGCAGAACTGCTCCAGTGGCGTTCTGAGGCTGCACATCTTTCAGAAGCAGAATCTCTTGTGGACTGGGCTGGTATGTTCAAACCACTGACCTTTCACTCAGCATCACAATGCCTAACCCATGGTGCCACCAGAGCTCCTTTTCAAACTACTGTTAAATGCCCCCGTATCAATTCCATGCCTTAGCTACCCTGAATAGGGTCTCCAAACAAAGAGTGGGTGGTGGGTTTGAACCAAGAATGAGAAGCCAGTCAGTACACAGTCATCCTACCTCATAAGCTTCATATCCAAAGGTTCAAACTGTGCTGGGGGCTGCCGACTGTGCTGGTGCACGTAGGTGATATGCTGGGCCAACCTGTGTAGGCAGAGGGAAGCAGTGACTCTTGGAGCTACATACCCTGACCTTAACTATTCCTCCAGTGTGCAGGGACAAACATTCACCCCAAATCCTCAGGATTTCATTCTGGACCCACTGTTTCCTAAGAACTAAGGACTGAGCCCTGCTGGAGATCCCGGGGCAGACTTGGACTGGTTCCGCTCCCCCTACAGAGTACTAGAGTAAGGCATGTCTCCTGGGTGTGCAGTTTCATTCACCGGAGATCATTATCTCGGTCAGGCCGGTCCTGGATCAGCCAGAGGAGGTCGAACCGGGAGAGGAGTGCAGCAGGAAGTTGTATGTTCTGCTCCAAGCTCCGGCGAGGGTTATAGCGCCCATAGGCAGGATTGGCAGCAGCCAGGATGGAGCAGCGGGCATTGAGTGTGGTGAGAATGCCTGCCTTGGCAATGGATATAGTTTGCTGCTCCATGACCTCGTGGATGGCTGTGCGGTCAGCCTCGGCCATCTTGTCAAACTCATCGATGCAGCACACGCCCTGGTCAGCCAGCACGAGGGCCCCACCCTCCAAGGTCAGCTCACCAGTCACAGAGTCTCGCAGCACAGCTGCTGTCAGGCCCACTCCGGAGGAGCCCCGGCCTGTTGTGTACTGGCCTGATGTGTTCAGCAAATGGGAGCAAGGAATAGAACAAAGGACACAAGGGACAGTCAGTTGAGATCTGCACTGGACCTGCCTTTACCCGCTACAGGGGGACCTGAGGCAGTTGGAGACCCATGGGAATGCCAGCAATGGCAACAGCTCCCTGTCCCTGCCACCAAACCACCTCAATGCCTGTTTTATACCCAATCCCTGCTTTCCAGTGCCCCCTGGGACAGAACAACACCGTGGCTTTATGTGCACCCCACCCTGGGTCAGAGTACTTACTTCTGGGGGCCAAGCGATCAATGTAAGACAGGAGCTGAGACTTGGCCACACCAGGATCCCCCATCAGGCAGATGTTGATATTCCCTGGAATAAAGGAAGACCCCCAAGTGATCGGTCTCTCAAGGCAGCTTGTCCAATAGAGAAAGATGCTTTTGAGATCCACCTCTCCTCCTGCCCACTAGGCTCTAAATCCACAAAGCCAACGCACCAGCTAGCTCCCTAATTTATGGCCTCCATATGACTTCATTCACCTTGAACCTCTCCCCCTCCCCTCATTTCTCGATGCGTTTTACCTCTTATCTTCATGCCTCGAGGAGACTGGTCCACACCTCCCACCAACAGGAGCAAAAGTGCCTTCTTCACATCTTCATGCCCATATATCTCCGGAGCGATGGAAGCAGCCAACTTTTCATAGAAATCCTCCTCTACAGGAGAATTAAGGTTCTTCATTAGGGGAATAAAAGGGGGCTCAGAAGAAACAAGTTCTCCCCTTATTCTCTTTACCTGCAATCTGCCTCAGCTCCTCCTTGCTTAGCTCCATAGCCCCAGCTTCATCATCCTCACTCTTATTCATCTTCACAATCCGGTGGGCTTCCAAGTAAGTCTCTGAGAGAAGACCCTGGGACAAGAAAATGCTAGAACATGGATGAAACCCTTTTACCATGCCTACCCATCTGATACCCTAAAAAAATTCCTGACAAAACCCCTTTATATCTGGTGTTTTCCTATTGGTAATTTTCTTTGGATGGGGGGAGGGGTTAAAGGGAAGAGTGAATGCAAGAGAGATGAAAGGAAATCTTAACTTCAAACGCCCTTACTTACCTGTACCACCTGTCGGAAGCCAGTACGCAGAATTGGCAAGAATATACCAGTGACACTGATGTGGTCTCCAGGCTGGGTGAGCCTTGTGTTCTCTCCTTCTACCAACACTGTGATGCTCCGGGGAATGTTGCCCACAGGAACTTGGTCACTCTGGGGAAGGAAAGGGTACACAGAAAAGGACGACATAAACACTTAGGATACTCCTTCACCTCCCTAGATGTTCCACTCATGTGGTTCTTAAACTAGCCTGCCTCAGATAAGCCTGTACGAGGAGCCAGAAACCAGTTCCAGCTGAGGTTAAACCTCCCGCCTCCTGCTCTAGGTGACTACTCTGGCTTCAGTTTTGCTCTTTTGTTACCCCACCCCACAAGTGAGTACAGGGATTGAGCAGACTCTCCACCCACCCCAAACCACTCACATGTTCCTGTAACTTCATCTCCTGGAATTTGATGAATTTGGAGCCACGAGTCTGCAGATACAGTCGCCCTCCAGAGCGGTTGGTTTGGCACTCCTGACTTGGACACATGATCAGGGGCATGAAAGTTGGAGACTGGATCTAAAATGTCACAAGGGGGGAAAAAAAAAACACAATCAAGGAAAAAGAGTCCTTTATAGTCAGTTACTTGAGTTATCATGGACCTGTCTAGAGCAGCACCTTTCACCATCCTGGATCAACAGTGACAAGTGCCAGGGTAACAAAATGGATGCTAAGACCCCTACATATCAAGAAAAGAATGAAAATAAACACACATAGTATTACACATTATAATAAACAGAAAAAAAACACAGATATACATCAATGGGCAAGACATTCTTAGACCACTAGCACAGTTAACTACTGATCTGTTTCTTGCTTCGTGCTTACCGGTTGGTAGGTCTCTGCCCCACACTGATCACAAGTGTAAGTGGCCACCACCATCCTGGGTTTAACTTCAGAAACACGGGTGACAATTCCACGCACCGTTACCAACTTCCCCACTGAGTCAGCCCGTACTTCCCGAATCACACGAGGCTTGTTACTGCTTGGGCCCTGAAAGTACAACTCACTGAAACAAAACAAAAAAGGTCATTAGCAAGGTTCTGGAGGACAACCTCCCACATCCTCCCCCAGAGGCCACTCACAATCTGCGCATAAGTTCCAGAGGGTACTGGTTCTGGGGGCTGCGAGCAGCTCCAGGGTCCCGGCTCCGCTGTTCCATCATTAGTCGATGTTCAATGTAAACATCTAGGATGTCTTTATTCACTACCTACAGACAAAAGTAGCAGCCTTGGTAATATAGTGGGTTACTTGTTGGACTATTAACTGCAAGGTCAGATGTTTCAACACACCAGTGGCTTTGAGGGAGAAAGATGAGGCTTTCCGCTCCCATAGAGATTTATAGCCCTGGCAACTTTGGACATGGTTGTTACCACAAGCAAAATAAAGACACGAAAATGAGCAACAGAATGGAGAAGAAGGGAGCACATAGAGCCCCAGCCATCACCTCGCCTCCGGCCAGCTCAAAGCAGCACTATCTATCTGAGAAGTTTCTCGTTAGAGGTCTTAGCCCAACACCCAGCACTGCTCTCTAATGGCTCACCTCCCTCTCCTTGTACTGAGGCAGCAACTCGTGTACAGCATCGGCAAAAAGCCTCGCATAGCGCTTGGCATTCTCACAAATCGAGTCCACCAACTCAGGGTCATCCTCCGCGACATCATCCAGGTCCACGTACAGTGCCACTTGTTCCCGATGAGCCAGCTGAACCTGGGGTAGGGAGAAACAGCAATATTTCAGAGCCAAATTCACCTTGAGTGCAATCAATCACTATAAGCACTGAGCAATTCTGGCCATGCGCAGGAGAGGAGGCAGGCAGAGTCACACCTCTTACAACAAACACAGCCCCTCAACTTGCAAAAACACCTTAGTTATTAAGTGCTGTTGTGTGCCCTTGAGTCAGTTTAGACTCAGAATGATTCTGCACAGGGTTCCTGAGAGCAGCTGGTGGGTTTGAATTGTCGACCCTGCAGTTACTAGTCCAGTGCTTACCCTACACACAGCAACACCAGAGCTCTATTAACAGTACAGCTATTATATTCACTTCACAAGCATTAATTGCTATGCTGTGTCCATTACAGACAAATCTACTTGTTGGCAGGAACTAGGCCACCTTTTTGAACCAACCCCTTAAAGTAACCACCTCATTTCCTTCATCTAATCTTAGACTTACCAACTGGTTCCCGTACTTAAACTGCTTCTTCCCAGATTCCTCATCTTGGTAAAACTCTTGCAAGAACTTCTTAACCTTATCTACAACGTAAATGTAAAATCATCACCAACTGCCTTCCTTTTCTCTCCCATACCTTTGCAGGAAACCTAAGAAACCCACTTTCATTTAAAAGAGAATCTACAAATTAGTAAGGACTTAAAGAAATATACACAATTCTTCCCACACCGGACCTAACTCCTTTCCACGTGCCCATTGTAAGCAGAGAATAAGGGGCCCTAGTCGTTTTGAGTAGGATCCTACACCGTCCCCAGAGGGAAACCCTCAGCACCCTTCCCCAATTGCCTGCCACACTCGCGATTCAGGTCTGTCGGCTCTCAGCGCTTCTTCCACCCATATTTCTTCGTTTCTCTCGATTTAGTAAAGCTCGGGCTCCTCGGGAATCACGGCACTAGGCCCGCTCCCCGCCACTGCTTCCGCTCTTAGTAAACAAAGAAGCACATGGGCCCAGAAGCCAGCCGCCTCACAGCCCCCGGGATTCCTCCGCCCAGGGCGGGAGCCCGCCGGCGATTGGCCAGCGCGCCGAAGGCCACCCGCTCCCGCACCTCCAGCTCCTCTCGCTAACCCCTAATCCCACCCACGCCCCAACCTCCGAGGCGCGCGCCGACGCAACGGCGCGGAAGGACACTGTTTACACACGGCACTCCCTCCTGCCGCCTCGCGCAACTTCCGCCCTGCCTTCATTTCCGCTGCTAGGGGCCCCACGACAGCCAATCCCGGCGCGCAGCGGCCCCAGCCTTCCCGCCTCCGGGACCCCGGCGCGCTTCGGTAGAACGCGGGAAATCCTGAGTTTCTAATGTGGGGGCCGGGAAGCAAACCCAGGCCCCTCCATCCATAAGGCTCCAAAGCCCCTCAGACACGGTCTCAAGGATCCCCGCTCACTCTTGGGAGTGGCCTTCCCTCAGGTGCCTCCAGCCAGGCTGCCCGCCCCCTACAATCACCCCGAACCCAGCCTTACCTTCTGCGACCCCAAGGCTCCCGTGCGCCTCCCAGACTCTGTCTGCCCGAGCCCAGCCTACTCCCGACCGTTTCCCTGGCCTTGCGCGCCCCTGAGTCCGGCTCCCCGAAACCCGTGGGTGTTAACCCGAATTCCTGTGCAGAATCCCCCTGCAAGCTTGCAGACCCACACCTTTCTCGAGCGCGTAGTCCTTATGTGCCATTGCTGCCGAGTGCGCGCGGCAGCAGTTAGCTGACCGAGGGGCTCGCGCTGCCAGAAGCAAAGAACTCCCGCGCGGTAGACTGCGGCGGAGCAACCGAAATTGGCGCGAAACGTCTGCTCCCCACGTGACCGGCGCCGCCCCATGCGGGCCAATCGGAGAGCACGGTCCGTCGCCGTCCTTGTCCCATGCTTCGGCCAATCACCGGCGCAGCCTGGGGCGTGGGGAGGGGGGCCGGAGGGGCGGGTGGGAAGGCCGAGCCGGGTGGGGAGGGCGCAGTACCCCCACGGTCCCGGCTGGCGCGGCCGGAGGAGTCATTCCTAAAGGACCGACCCTCACTCCTCCTGTTGTTCCGAGGCCGCAGTGCGGAGAGGACCCAGTTTTCGCAGCGTTGTCACCTTGACTACTCTCCAGAACGGCCATGATTTCCCAGTTCTTCATTCTGTCCTCCAAGGGGGACCCGCTCATCTACAAAGACCGTATCCTTGACCCGGGGCAGGGGCTGGCGGGGCTGGGTGGGAGTAGTGTCCCCGAGCCAGCCTGTATCACCGGTTTCTTAACTGTCCTTCCACCTGGTCAGTACGAGGGGACAGCGGTGGCCGGGATGTGGCCGAGCTCTTCTACCGGAAGCTGACGGGACTGCCAGGAGACCAGTCTCCAGTTGTCATGGTAACCACCCGTGGGAGGGCGGTAGGGATGGTGGGGACCGGTGGGCGCCTCGTCTCTCCCAGGGCTGTTTCCCTGAAAGCTTACGTTTGGGGAGAACATTCTCCCAAATAATATTAACCGAGGTGGTATGGCACAGTGGGTGATGCGCTGGACTGCAAAGCCGGTTTGAACTGAAGGTCTGCAGTTCAAGCTCACCAGCCGCTCCTCAAAAAACCCTGTACAGGGTCGCTATGGGTCTGAACCAACTCGTCGGCATTTAACAAAGTTTATTAAGTGCTAACTGTATACCAGGTAGAGTACCTTGTGCTTCAGTCTTCAGAATTTTGGTTAACACCGTTAACACTTTAGGATGCTGGGGGCTTGGAAGGGGGTTCATATTCACCCCAAATCACACTGCTGTTAAGGGCTATGACTCAGGTCTTAATCACTGGCTCTTTTCTTGCCTCTTCTTCAGCACCACGATGACCGTCATTTTATCCACATCAGACACAGCGGCCTCTATTTGGTGGCCACCACTTCAGAAAACATTTCTCCTTTCAGCCTCCTAGAACTGCTCTTCCGGTGAGGAGGCTGGGGCTGGACACCTGGGAGTGGGGCTTTGAGGGGAGATTATGACACTCGTTGTTTCCTCAGGTTAGCCACCCTCCTGGGTGACTATTGTGGCTCCCTGGGTGAGGGCACCATCTCCCGCAATGTGGCGCTTGTCTATGAACTACTGGATGAGGTGTTGGTAAGCTCAAAGGCTTTCCCTCACTTGTCCTGTTCCCCTGGTAATAGCCACCCAGGAACTCTGGTGGTGCCACGGAACAAGCACTAGACTGCTAGCCGTGAGGTTGGCAGTTCAAGCCTATCAACTGCTCCACAATAGAAAAACGAGACTTTCTATTTCTATTTCTGTAAAGATTGAGTCTTGGAAACCTTGGAGAGGGGCCACTATATAAGTTGCAATCAACTTGGTGGCAGTGAGTTTGGTTTGGGGTTTTCTGCCATGGGATCCGGTTAGGAGGGGTAGTTCCTTTCTTCTTATTACCCATTCCCTCCCTTCCTTTACTAATAGGACTATGGCTATGTACAGACTACATCCATGGAGGTGCTGAGGAACTTCATCCAGACCGAAGCTGTGGTCAGCAAGCCCTTCAGTCTATTTGACCTCAGCAGTGTTGGCTTGGTCAGTGAAGGGGGAAGAGGATCATTATGGAGGAGGAAGATTGGTTAGGAGTATCAAATTGAGGGTTGATTGCTTTGGGTGTTTTACAGTTTGGGGCTGAAACACAACAGAGCAAAGTGGCCCCCAGCAGCGCAGCCAGCCGCCCCATCCTCTCCAGCCGCTCTGACCAGGTAAGGGGCCCAAGCTATAGTGCCAGACTCTCCCAGTTTTTTCTGGGACTCAAGAGCCCAAGATCCAGGCATATCTTTCCACTTCCCTTACACTTGGGTGTCCCCTCACCCCCAGGACCCTAGACTCAGCTACCATAGTCAGTCCTTCCTTGCCTCCATATATTAAAATATAGGCAATTCAGCCTCCAAACACCCAAGTCTCCTTTCTTTCTCAGAGTCAAAAGAATGAAGTGTTCTTGGATGTGGTGGAGAGATTGTCTGTACTGATAGCATCTAATGTAAGTGGATCCCCAGCCCTGGAGCTGAGGACAGAGGATCTATGGAAACCTGTGGGGTAGTCACAGTTCTGGGCATTAACCTCCCTGTCATTCTCAGGGCTCACTACTGAAGGTGGATGTGCAGGGAGAGATCCGACTCAAAAGCTTTCTTCCTAACGGCTCTGGTGAGGAATTTGTAGGCTGGACGCAGCACTGGGTCGATAGGCGCCTTGGTTTGTATTGGTGTTGCTTGGTTACTTTCCTGATGTTCTTTTCTGACAGAGATGTGTATTGGCTTGACGGAAGAATTTTGTGTAGGAAAGTCAGAACTGAGAGGTAAGGAGAAAGTAGCTGTTTATCATCTGGTGTGTTGTTAAATTCCTCTGAGTCAGTTCCAACTCATAGCGACCCTGTATAGGGCTTCTAAGAAACAACTGGTGGGTTTGAACTGTCAACCTCCAGTTCAAACCGACCTTGTGGTTGAGTACTTATCCTACAGCGCTACACCAGGACTCCTGGGATGGGCACTACCAAAGATGTTCTACTGAGAGATTGGGTTATCTTAGAATAGGGTAAGAGCAGGTGGTTGTGTTAGACCCTCCCTGCTCTTCTGTCTTAAAACATGGTTTAGGAGACGGGTCTTGCTCTTTTTGCAGGTTACGGGCCAGGAATTCGGGTTGATGAAGTCTCATTTCACAGTTCTGTACATCTGGATGAGTTTGAGTCTCATCGAATCCTCCGTTTGCAGCCCCCTCAAGGGGAGGTGAGCATAGGTAGCTCAGTATATCCTGTCCACCGTGGGAGACAGTTCAGGTGAGGAGACCCAATAGATCTCTGTTCTCTGATTTCAGCTTACCGTGATGAGGTACCAACTCTCAGATGACCTCCCCTCGCCTCTCCCCTTCCGGCTCTTTCCCTCTGTGCAGTGGGACCAGGGCTCAAGCAGGTACGACCATTCCCCTTATTGAGGTAGCTGTTGGGAGTTGGGCTGGATTTCAGCCCCTTCTCTCCTTAGGCACAATTACACGTCATTCATGGAGGTCTGGGTGGGGACACTAAGACGCCGTCAAACATGTCCTAAATAATGGTATTTTACCCTTTCACCCAGGCTTCAGGTTTATCTGAAGTTACGATGTGATCTACCTTCCAAGAGGTAAGTGTTGGATCTGGCTGTGTGCCTTCAGTTAGCTAAAGGAAGACATCTGCGCTAAGCTCCAGTTGTGACATTAAGGATGGGGACACTACTTTCTGGGGCTGACTTCTTCATTATTTCCTCTTTGCAGCCAAGCTCTCAATGTCAGGCTGTACCTTCCCCTGCCACGAGGGGTGGTCAGGTTAGTGTGCATGCCAGACCAGGGAGGTGGGCTCTGAAGGACAACTGGCCTGCCCCTCACCTTTCCTCTCCAGTCTGTCTCAGGAGCTGAGCAGCCCAGATCAGAAGGCCGAGCTGGGGGAAGGAGCCCTTCGCTGGGACCTACCTCGAGTACAAGGAGGCTCTCAGCTCTCGGGCCTTTTCCAGGTATCTTCTCCCCAACCGTCATCTTTGGCCTCTGGCCCATCCCTCCTGATGCAGTTGCTGCAACGTTCCTACCTGGCCCCTGGCTGCTCTGCTCCCTTCAGTCCCTCCTTCCCACCTCTGCTCCTCACAGATGGATGTCCCGGGTGTCTCTGGGCCCCCTGGCCATGGACCTTCCTCCTCGGCTCCTCCATTAGGACTGGGCCCTGCCAGCCTCTCCTTTGAACTTCCCCGGCACACGTGTTCCGGCCTCCAGGTTCGCTTCCTCAGGCTTGCTTTCAGACCGTGTGGCAATGCCAATCCCCACAAATGGGTACGACACCTAAGCCACAGCGATGCCTATGTCATTCGCATCTGAGTGTCCCCAAGTGACGGCACTGTAAACAGGCCTTCTGGCCTCTGGATCTGGGATGGAAACCAGAAGGGATGTACAGGTTAACCTCCACTTGGTGTCTGATACAGGAAGATTGGGACGGATCAGAACTTACCAATCAAATTTTTATTCTGAGGAACTAACTGTACAATAACTACAAGAAAGTGACAAGAAGTAGGCTCCTACTTCCCTCCACCTAAACGTGTGTGTGTGTGTGTGTGTGAGCGAGCGAGCGAAAGCCAGAGGGAGAGCTAACAGCCTCAAGGAGACCCAGACCCAGGGGGCTGGGAACCATTAGCCTTTGGAGTCCCTGGGGCTGGCGGGGGGCTATCCCCAGCTTCTTGCTTCCCTGCACAGAGGGCACTGCCTCCAAGAGGTGAAGGGGATGAGGAGGCAGGAGGAACTGGAGAAGGATGAGAGGTGGGGCCTCCTTTGCCTTCCCCTTTTGGAAGAGAAACCACGATAAACTTCTGGACACTCCCTGGACCAGAGGGAGCAGTGCTGGGGGGAGTGGTTGCGGATGTGGAGACCAGCTTGACAATGGGCTGCACACTGGAGACAGTGGTGGTAGTGACGGGCGAGGTTGTGGTAGAGCCTGAGCCAGGAGCTGAGGTGCTGAGGGACAGGACCTGGGGAAGAAAAGGCAGTGCCGATTGCTTTGAGCCCTCCTCCAGGAAGACCTATTCCCAGGGCCCATGAATGGGTACATCCTCAGGGTCCTGTAGATTGCTGCAGCTCAAGAGCCTTGCTCAGGTGAGCAGCTGGAGTCCCACAGTGCCCGGGGCAGTGTCACGTCTGTCTCATTTGGGGACCTACTTTAAAGTCTTTCCAGAATGCTCTGTGGTAACCTAGGACACTCAGGGCACTTCACCATCCCCTTATTCCACATGGTTGCACACACCTGCTGGGTAGATGAGGCACTAGATGATGAGGACATTACAATGAGCTTGGTTGGAGGAGGGGCAGCAGCTCGAGCAGACACCAGGGTCTGGACGGGAACCTTTAGCAAGCCAGAAGTCCGAGGGCCAGCCTGGGGGGCCTGGGACAGGGTCAGTGTGGGCCGGGGCTGCAGGGACAAAGGCAGAAAGAAAAAGAGGGTGTAGAGGGAAAGACCCAGGTTGCTCTTCTTCCTCAGTGGTTCTCAGCTAGGGTCGGGGGCCTAGACTCCCCCAAGGTTCAAAAAGAGAGGGTCCTGAGGTTTAAAGTGAGAGCACGTGTTTGTACATGTGTGTGCACACCCTGCTGAGAACAGCGGCTCCATCCCACCCCCAACTTCTGTCTCTGCAACTTGGTTCCTCTTCGTCCGCCCCGCAGTCACTCACCTGGGTGATACTCACCTGGGTGATACTCACCTGGGTGATACTCACCTGGGTGATACTCACCTGGGTGATACTCACCTGGGTGATACTCACCTGGGTGATAGTCAGTGTGGTCCTGTTGACCTGCTGAGCCTGCAGAGCAGCCTGGGCCTGGGCCTTGATCACATGGGAGCAGAGAAGGGGGCCAAGGAACCCAAATTCTGCCCAATAGGCATCCTGGTCGTCAGATGGTGGGCACAGCTCTGCCAGAACTGGGGCGCAGTATTTCTGCAGAGAGAAGGCAGACCATAGCTAGATAGAGGGAAGGCTGGCATTCCTGGAAGAGTGACAAAGAGGTGTACCAAGTGGTGCTGGGTCGTCTTTGTAAGAAAACACGGGCATCAACTGGTGTGAATGGAGAATTGACCAGTATCCTGTTTATAGTCAGTTCTGATCCATAGTGACCCTGTATATGGTTTCCAAGGAGTAAATGGTGAGGTAGAACGCCAGTCCTGCAGTTCAAACCAACCTAAAGCACTGACCAAATGTTAAGGGGACATGTAACCCACAGGGGTGCTTATCTAGCACAAAATGGACTAGAGAGAGATGTAGACGCCCCATAGGGGGTACTGCAGGAAAATGTACAAGCTGGGAGTTCAGATCTCTTAATTCATTTTGTGCTTTGTGTTCTTTAAATATTTGAGACAAAGGATTGGAGTAAATGTTCGAATAAAGCATATGCTTGCTAACCACTGTTGTCTGCGTGTGTATGGAGGGACTTGTGGGGAGAAGTTGGGAGCAGGGGTTAGGACAGGAGCTCTGTTCACCAGAAGGAGGTTCTGCACGTGGTCCGCTCCTATCCGATCAATGTTGCTCAGCACAGGGCCCTCTAGGACACTGCGGATCCGCTCCCCCTCCTGCTGTAGCCGGGGCAGAATCAGAGTCTTAATCACCTGGTGGGAAGGAAGGGGAGAGAAGGCAGGGCCACTGGGTCACCACACTGGCTCCTAAGTTCAGGGGTGCTACTCCCCTCCCCCCAGTTCTTCCCACATGGTGGGGGTCTAACATCATGTCCCAGCTCTGCCAGGCCTGCAATGGAGCCATAACGAGTAGTCCAAGGAGTCTTCTCATCCACCCAGCTCTGTATGGAAAGGACAACTTTATTAAGATCACAAGGTCCAAGTATTCCATCAACCCACTTCCCTTGCAAACATGAAGACTTTACAGATGAGGCTACAGTCCTTTCAAATACTCGGATTCCAGGCCTGCCCTTTCTTTCTGCCCCTTGTTTATTTAGAGTTATTTCTCCAAGCCCAACAGACCCACTCCCGGCTTCAGTGACCCTCTTAATGGATGCTTACCTTGGTGAAGGTCTTGGTGACCCGAGACTGGATGTTGTTAGTGGTTGTGCTGAAATGTTTGCAGATGTGAGCCACCAGACGGGCGGCAAAGTCCCGGAGGGCCCAGTGATTATCCACATCTGGTCGCAAGCACAGCTGTCTGCTCACGGTGCAGGTCATCACAGCTGGAATCAACTCATGCACCTAAGGGAGAAGGGACTGAGTTCCGAAAGCCCAGGTCCCTGGGAGGGGAGGAAGCAGACAGGACGACTCACATATTTTTCCAGATAGAGCGTCGGGTTATCAGTCAGCGCCTTTGCCATCCGCATCAGGTAGATAAGCAGGGCCAGGTTGTTCTGTGCCACATTCACACGGACCTACGGAGACGTGAAGGGACAGCGACATCCCTCAGATGAACTGCTCCTGCTGCCGCCTCCCCCCTCAGTCACATCCAAGTCCTCACCCCCTCTGAGATGAAGGTGCTGAATCGGGGCAGCATCTGATAGAGCCCTGGGTCCGTAGTGATGCTCTGTAGAGCTTCCTGGGAGAGAGGGAAATAGGTGAGGTAGAAACTGGGATCACGGGGCCTCAGAGAGGAGTTGTCTCCTGGTAAAGGTAAGAAGGTGGGGTCCTCACCACTCTCTTGGCCTCACACGACCCCACACAGGCTTCAGTGATCTCCTTGTAGTAAAGCTGCTGTTCCACTGACAACTCATGGATGCTTCGGGGCTTCAGTCGCAAAGGAGCCCCTTCCAGCAAGGGGGGTGCCTTCTTCTCTTTCCCTGGGGGAATTGGGAAAACAGGTTAGAAGAGCAAGCTCCAGGAGAGGCCTCAGTATTAGGCAAACCTTCGGCCTCCATTCCCAGCCCAGGGACACCAGGCTTCCTCCTAAGAGTCTGAATCTTTCCTGGGGCTCTCTGGCCTGAGATTTTCCCTCACCACCTTTACCTCACCCACTTCATAAATGACCACAAGGCACTGAGGCAAGTCAAGAGAGGCCTGGCTAGCCCTACTGACCTTTGCTGTCAGCTGGAGCAGCCCCTTGACCTTTGCCTTTTAGGGGCCCGTCTTCTTCCTGGCCTGGCTTTGCTGACTTCAGGGGTTCTGTGGCCTCAGCCTTCTGTTGCTCTTTGGAAGCTGGAAGGAAGGCATCCACAACAGCAGTGGTCAGTGTGGAGGGAGAAAGAGTGAGGCAGAATGGGGAGGCAGGGGCGGCGGCAGGCAGAGCGTTTACCTGGAGGCGGATTCTCTGGTATCGCCGGCTGGCAGCCTTCAATGCTCAACCAGTGAGCTGTGAGGAAGGGAGGTGTAAAGGTGAATGGCTTTTAGGTGGACACTAGCATGTACCTAGGATCTCACGCTCCTCCTCTCCCTCCTCCCTCCCACCCTGCTCTCCCCTCCGCCAACCTTTGAGACAGACGTCCAGGGGCACCCGGGGCAGAGGGGTATTGATGATGTCACTCAAGTCAACCTCCTTCTCCTCATAGAAGTAAAGCTCCCGGCCTCCACCAGAGGCAAAACGGAATGGAATGAATTCCTGGGCATGGAAGCCATACAGCGGCTGTACCAGGAGAGCAGCACACACTGGCATGAGCTGGGGGGGAGGGAGGTCTGAGAGGCTGGATCCGCCCACCCTCTCTGGTACATCCCAATCACCTCGACGTTCTTCAGTTTCAGAGCGTAGTCAACGTCACTAGTGGTGAGCTTCTGCCTCTTCCCCATGTGCATGAACTTCAAGGCGTCCTGGGGTCGTGGAAGGGGAGAACAGACATCAGCTGGAGACCCTGGGGAAGAAGGGGGCTAACACCCTCCAGAGCGGGCTGGGCAGCAGACGAGCTCACCTGTGCGATTTCCTTGATGCGATAGCTGACCTCATCTGTCAGCAGCTGGCAGGTCTCCTCCTGAATCTGGGCGATGCCCATGGACTCGGCCACCACCTTCATGGACTCAGAGGGCAGCACAGTATTGCTGAGCTTCAGCTTCTTCTCTTCTGCCATTCTGGAGCCCCTCCTCCCAGCCCCTAAGGCTGCTGCTCCGGGGTAGAGCGATGGGGGGAGAGAGAATGAGAGAGAGAGAGGAGAAGAAACATGAGACCCAAAGAAGAGAAGAAGGCACAACAAAGGGAGACTCAGCAAGGCGAGAAGTAAGGAGCCCCGTGTGATGTGTGACTCGGGGCTATGATGCAACAGAAAAGGCCAGGACTCCAATCTGATTCAAGCCAGACACTGTGCAAGTGAGGTCCCCCACCCCGACCCCCAATCGATGGTCCAGCTGATTCTGACTCACAGCAGCTCCTTACAGTGGAGTAGAACCACCCCATGGGGTTCCCCAGGCTGCAGTCTTTATAGAGAGACCTTATGTGGTGGTGTAGGATAAGCACTGGGCTACTAACTGCAAGGTCAGTGGTTCAAACCCACCAGCTGTTCGTTAGAAACCCTCTGTAGGGTCACTGTAAGTTAGAATGGATTCAATGGCCCTTAACAACAACCACCTTTATGGCAGTAGACTGCCACATCAGTGACCTCTCAGTTAGCAGTCGAGCGTTTAACCACAGGGCCGTGAGAGGGATACAGTAGATGAATCGACTCCAATTCGTAGAAGACAGACTAGAAATGCTCCCCAGCCTTCCCAGGCTGTAATGGAAGTGGACTAACATCTTTCTCCCACCATAGAACAGCTGAGGGTCTGAACTACCAGCCTTTCAGTAAGCAGCCAAATGCTTGTCCCTGTGCACCCCCAGGTCAGCAGGTAAGGTGTCAGGCTGCTGAGGATCCGCAGGCAATATGGCAGGCTGCCGGCTCAAGCCCACAAAACTGGAGGTCAGATGAACCAGATACAGGACCCAGACCCAGCAAAAAGCAAGTCAGCTTTGTTCGCGCATTCGCTATATTGGTAGCAGGTGCGGTGCCGTGGATTGTTTAACGTCTCTTTTAGCCAGTCTTTGTAAACGCCCACCAATTGACTCTTTTCTGAAGGATCTGGTAAAAGGTGAGGGAAGATGCTGATTCAGTTATGAGTGACTGTTAACAGGACTAATCATGACTGGTCAATTTTGCCATCCTGCTAAATATAAAATAAACCATATCAGACGTTGTTGTTATTGTTGTAGTGACCCTGTGTAGCGTTTCTGAGGAGCAGCTGGTGAGCTTGAACCGCCAATCTTGCAGTTCAAATGGCTTTGCAGTCTGGCGCATTAACCCACAGCGCCACACCAGGACATAGGAGGGGGGAATCTCACTACCATCAAGGAAGAAGAGCCAGGAAAGGGGTGCACTGACCCTCTTTGGCCCAGAGACAGGAAGCTGTGACATGAAAGCACTAGCAGAGGTGTGCCAGAGGAGCTGCAACAGAACCAGAACCAGAACCAAGAGTCAGAGCACCAGACACAGCAGTGGGCTTCCAAGTCCACGGAGCAAGTGCCTTTGGGCAGGGGGCCTCTGAGCACTTACATGAGGAGCTAGAGCTGAAGACTGTGGGCTGACACTTACAACACAGTGGAGTGTCCTTTGGGCATTTATCGATAGCCAGTGAAGAAACGAGCTTTGTAACATCTCCTGAGCAGGGCAGAGGCCAAGCCAAGAGGTTGAGGGCCACAGTCCTGCCTGCAGAGAAGAGGCTGTCCTTACCAAACACCTGAACTCTGAGAATTTCCCGAGGCTGCATTGTAACCATAGCTGTGATATGGTATGGGAGTTCTGTGTGGTCACTGCAATGAATGATCAAACCCAGCTGAGTAGAAAGTACTGTGAGAGAAACCGCTGGTGTCAGACTTAGTGGAGAAGGGAGAAGGCTGGTTAATGAGAAAGTTTTTCCCTTTTGGGAAAAGCCAGAAGAGATCAGACAAGGAGCCCCATCCCTGCCCCATCCCTACCCCTTCCCTACACACCTTTTTTTTTTTTTTTTTTTAGCAGATCACACTGCTGAGGAAACTTCCTTTCAATCGACTGGCTGCTCAAAGCAGATCTCACCATGGGTGTGATTACACTATATTAGATCTCAACTTGGGGATTATTACGGCTCAACATCCAAACCACTGAAGAGCCAGCCAGGCCCAGCCACATGGACATAAAACCTTAAGGACCATACCCCCACCATGCCCCTGAAACGATTCTTGTCAAGGTTACCAAAGACTTTACATTGCTAAATCATGGTCTCTCAGCAGTACACTGCCTTCTTCTGATACACTTTCTTCACTTGGTTGCCAGACCACCTTCACTTGGTTTTCCTTCTACCTCAATGGTCACTCCCTTGCAATTTCTTTTATTGGATTTTCCTCTTCTCTCCATCTGCCCAGTATCCTGGGCCAGGCTTTAGTCTTCCTCACTAACTGCATTTACTTCCCTGGTTCTCTCATCCACATCTATGGCCTCAAATATCTTTTATAGGCCAATGATGAACAAATTTTTATTCCAGCCCAGACCATTCTCCTCAACTGTATATACAACTGCCTACTCAAAAGCATCATGAAAACCGATCTCTTGATCTCCCCGACCCACCTGCTATAGCCTTAACTTTGCTCATCTTCACACACAATGCCTTCCAGTTTTATGACTCTTCACATCAGCCCCACTAGGCAATCTTATCTGATTACTCCACTTCTACTATCTTGAGCCCGGTCACCGTCATCTCCTCCCTGGAGAACGTCATAGCTTCCTAGCAAGGGCTCCCAGCTTTTCCCTACTCCCGTAAAGATTTACACCCTTGGAAACCCTGTACAGGGTCGCTATGGGTCGGACCCGACTCGATGGCAATTAACAACAACAACAACAACAGTCAAAGTTACTCTGTCAATTGGAAACCCCATCATGTCATTTCTCTGTCCAAAACTCTGTAATGGCTCATTTGCCTTAAGCATAAAATCCAAAATCCTTAAACAATGAGCTACAAGGCCTTTCGTGGTTTATCCTAACCTCATTATATCTTTGACCTCCCTTCCTTCCCTTTCCACTTTGATCCAACCACACACACCGCCCTCCCTGCTGATTTTTGATCCTGCCAGGCATACTCTTACTCTGTGGCCTTTGCTCTGATACTCCAGCTTGGAATCCTCTTCCCAAATGTTCGTTCAGTTGCCCACCCTTACCACACTATTTAGGAGCCCTGGTGTGGCGCTGTGGCATAATGCACGGGCCGCAAAGTCAGTTTGAATTGCAAGGTCACTGGTTCAAATTCACCAGCCGCTCCTCAGAAACCCTATACAGGGGTGCTATGAGTAGGAACCAACTAGAAGGCACTTAACAACAACACCCTATTTAATATTCTCCCCCAACCCCATTCTGGAATTCTCGTGTGGCACTGTGGGTTAATGTGCTGGCTTGCAAAGTCGGTTTGAATAGCAAGTTCGGAGGTTCAAGCTCTCCAGCAGCTCTTTGGAAAACCTATAGAGGGTCGCTATGAGTCAGTACCGACTCAGTGGTACTTAACAACAACATAGATATATATATACACACTGGCTTTGCCTCTCTAGAGACCTCAACTAAGATGGAGCAAAAGGCTGATTGGAGTGGGTTTAAGAGAGAAAAAGAGGAAAGGCATTAGAGAGGTGGGGTCAGTCAATTCCTATCAAGGAGTTTGGATGCAAGGTTAATGCACTGGACTGCAAACTTGGTTTGAACCACAAGTTCAGTGGTTCAAGCTCACCAGCCGCTCCTCGGAAACCCTATACAGGGTTGCTATGGGTCAGAACCAACTGGGCAGTGCTTAACAACAACAACTCCATTCTGCTCTACTGTTTCCCCCCTAGTATCTAATATCTCTAATGTATAGTTTCCTTATTTACCACCACCACGTGAGCTCCATGACGACAGGGCTTTTGCTATGTTCACTGATGTATTCCAACAACCCGGTAGTGTCTGAGGTTAGTAAGACAATAAATATTTGAATTGTAAGACTCAGATGTTTGCAAATACCACTTTGTTGTTGTTCAGTCGGTTTGACTCACAGCGACCCTGTGTAGGGTTTCCGAGGAGCAGCTGATGGGTTTGAAGCGCGGACCTTGTGGTTCGTGGTCCAGTGCTTCTACAGCGCCACACCAGGAGTCCATATACCATGCAGATGTTCAATAATCAGCACATCACTATCACTATTACCGTGGCCACAAGTGGTATGCTCGGGCTGTGCAGTTGGCATATGAACGCCACCAGCGCTCAGGACCCACTGGGCAGTCGCGGAAGGCGGAAGCCGCAGGAGGACCCGGTTCTTCCACGTTCACTAGGCACACACTCCACGCCTCGCGCCGAAGACAAGAAGTGGTCCTGTCCCTGTTCTCGGGCGAACTCCTAACCCTTCAGCATCCAGCCCAACAGAACCGACGACTCCTCAGCCGCCGTCCCCAGAGCCTAGTTTCCTAGGGGCAGGTGGCGACGTCTGTCTTGTCTTCCTGGAGCCCAGCACTGGACCCGCTAGTTAATAGGCGTCCAGCCTCGGAAGCCCTCAGATCAGTGGGGGCACCGGGAAGACTTCCCAGAGGGCGGCTGGAGCTAGACCTTCAAGCTTTGTAGGACCGGGGAAGGGGAGCCGCCCCCAAAGGGTTCCGAGCAAGCCAAGACTGAGAGCCCACCCTATCTCCCCCAACATCCCCTCAATGCACACACACCAGAGTCCCCATCAGAGACACACAACTGACCGTCCTACTTCCAGTCTCCATAGGGGACCTTCTGGAGGTCTTGTCTCAGGTATAGCTCAGACCTGCCCCCAGCAGCCAATGTCTCACCACCGCCAAAGCTCCGCTCACCCGGCGCTCGGCGCCATGTTGGACCCGCCCCCTCGCCGGCGCAGGTCCGGGCAGAGGAGAGCAACACATAACACTTCCTTAGAGCTGGAACAAGTACCCTAGGGTCACGGCCTAAAAGATATAAAAACACTGTTTTTATATCTATATAAAATGAGTACGCTTGCTCATTTTCCCCAATGACTTCAATTTAAATATTGACAACCCAGCGACCAGGACCTTCAGGAGGCGCCACCAGACCTGGGCGGAGAAGTCAAGCGATCTATGAGGTCCCGCCTCTTTTTTTTCGGCTTGGTACTGCGCACGCGCTACTAGTCTGGCTTTCAGGCTGCCCGCCAGCCTCTGAATTTAAAGGGCCCGCTGTGTTTCCGAAGTTGGTTTGAAAGTAAGAGCGTGGACCGCGCTTTGTCATGGGATCTGTGTGCTTGGGAACGTTGCTTTTCATTTTGGCTGTGTTCGGGGCTTGGGCCGGGACGCCGAATGAGGATGATGATGACTTAGAACGCTTGCCCAGCAAATGCGAAGGTATCTAAAGGGAGTGTATCTCTTCTTTGTATTCCTCTGTCCCACCTCCCTCTTCTAGAACTTTGTTGTTGTTAAGTGCTGTCGAGTCGGTTCCGACCCATAGCGACCATGTACAGGGTTTCCGAGGCTGTAAATCTTTACGGGAGCAGAAAGCCTCATCTTTCTCCTGTGGAACAGCTGGTGGTTTCGAACTGCTGACCTTGAGGTTAGCAACCGGATTCGTAACCACTACACTACCGAAGCTCCTTACTGGTCTTGATTACAGGGTAGAAGTATTTATCCTCCTACATTCTTCGTTTTCAAGATTGTTTTACCTAATCGAAGGACGATTCCTTTCCATGTATGAGGGGGCTTCAAAAGTTTGTGGAAAAATTTCATTATCTTTCAATTCCATTTCC